CACACACTAGTGAACACCACCCCAATACTAGTAGACATGTAGTGAAGTGGTTATTTGGATCATGTGGCAGCCTTAAATGCTTAATAATCTCAAAACTATACCTTTTAGCCTAATATTAATGAAACTAAATGAAACTAAGTCTAAGTTATTACTTTAATACAACTCATAATTAGTCAATTTGATAGTTTAATTTAGAAAAAACATCATAAATGGTCCTTGTGTTTTCCTAGATTCTGAAGTTTAGTCCCCGTGGTTTAAAAATCTCATAAATGGTCCCTGTGTTTTCAAAACTTTTGACGATTGGTCCTTATTGCTAACTCCATTAAGTTATGTCCGTTAACTGAAGGGCATTTTTGTCATTTCACAACCACATGGACCATTTATGATGTTTTCTTATATTTTTTTTTAAAAAAAGAAAAAAATTAAATATAATCCCTTCTCTTCTCCCCTCTCTCTCTCTCTCTCTCTCTCTCTCTCTCTCTCCGTTGACATTAAACACCGTCTACAACCTCTTCTCCTCTACTCTGCCTCTCACCTACTTTTCATCTTATCACCTCCGATCTACTCTACTTCCATTCACCTGCGCAACCAAATGGGAAAACTCCATCCTGATTTGCTACGCCGTGGATAAGTGTGGCTAAAGATGATGATCAATCACACTCGTTATCCAACAATCGCTGCCGCCCACAGATGATGATCGAATACTAGAACAACCTAGATCCCTAAACAACCACATCCTCATTCTCCTGTCAGCCAGACCCTCACATACCAGTGACGAAGCACCACCATCGCCACTACAATTTTAAGACCAACAACCATCGCCATTCCTACTATGTCTCTCTCTCTCTCTCTCTCACAATTCTACCCGATATAATCCTCAACATCATCTGAAAGATGTTGTATACTTGCAAGATCTACAACACCAATAAGGTCGCCATCTCTATGAGGAAAACACAAATCTGGCGTTCAGATTCCCTTCAAGCATCTGCCCTAACTGTCAAGAACCTTTATCCTTTCTCATTCTCTTTGTTTATCCTTCCTTCCAGGTGTATATCTTCACATCTACGAAACCCCACTATAAAGGAAAATTGATTTTTCAGTTTAATTAAATGATTTACAATTTCAACCTTTGAGCGTTGAAACAAAGTATGTAAGGTTTACATTTGATTTTTGGATTTGACAATTTTATAATTGAAATCAAACATCTTGGTTTTGAAGATTTTTGTTTGTTTTGTACAGCATGTGTATTTGTTCATGTGCCTGAAGAACAAACATGTCTGTTTCATCCAAAAAATCGACTTAGGTCTGTAGATATATGTCTATGTGTGTGTCTAAAGAAAAAAAAACCCATCCGATGGTGAAGATGAGTCAAGAGCCCAATATATATGAACTTTGATCTAGATAAGGTGTATATATGTTTTTATATTTATGTGTGTTCATGGTGAAGGTGGGTGAAGATCTCAGAGAGAGAGAGAGAGAGAGAGAGAGAGAGGGGGGGGGGGAGATGAACTTTGATATATATATATATATATATATATATATATATATATATATATATATATATATATATATATATATATATAGAGAGAGAGAGAGAGAGAGAGAGAGAGAGGGGGGAGAGAAGAGAAGGGATCATATTTAATTTTTATTTTTTTTAAAATATAAGAAAACATCATAAATGGTCCTTGTGGTTGTGAAATGACAAAAATGCCCTTCAGTTAACAGACATAACTTAACGGAGTTAGCAATAAGGACCAATCGTCAAAAGTTTTGAAAGCACAGGGACCATTTATGAGATTTTTAAACCACGGGGACTAAACTTCAGAATCTGAGAAAACACAGGGACCATTTATGATGTTTTTTCTTTAATTTAGTTTATAATTATTTATTTGACAAAACTGCGAATTTGGTCCTTGTGGTTTGCCAAAACCTTTGGATGGGGTCCAAATAGTTTCCAGCTTGCACCAAAGGTCCAAAATCAAGGTTTTCTTGGGTTTTTAGTCCATTCCGTCATTGACCGTTTGTTTGGGGCCGTTAGTGCCTACACGTGCCCTCCATGTGAGGGCATTTTGGTCATTTTAGGTACTTATTTTAAATAATATCATATTTCTCCCTTATATACATATACACAATCCTCTTCCTCTTCTTCATTTTTATTTACAGAGAAGAATCCTCTTCCTCTGCTTCTGTGGGAATGTTGCTGTTGTGCGAACCTCATGGACTTCACGAAACCCTGGTCGTCGTTTCTATGCATGCCCTAAAATGGTTAGCAAACTGATATTAGGTTACAAAGAAGTCAGTAGTTAAGCAATAACTCTTCTACTTTAATGTATTCTTGTAGGGATCCAGATGTGCATTTTTGGGGTGGTTCGATCCCCCTATGTGTCAAAGATCAACTGTTATCATACCAGGACTGTTGAGAACAATGAATAGGTATGAGGTTGAAGTGGGCCAGCTGAAGATGTGTTTGCTTGTCTCGTGGATTTTGTTTCTGTTGTTTGTGCTGTTTTGGAAATAGGAATTAGAGGTTAGGACTTTTTTGTTGGTAGTAACCACTTAAAAATGTTGTCTTTTGGTGCTAGAAGGTTTAATTGTGGTTTATATATGTTTTTGTTGGTAGTAACCACTTAAAAGTGTTATCTTTTGGATCATTGTATATGTAATGCTTTTATGACAATGGGAAGTGTAATGGTTTTATCCTTTTATGAATATGAAATTATAAAGGTTTGATCTTGACATGATATGCAAGTGTAATGGTTTTTCTCTACGTTTGAATATGCAATTGTAATGGTTTCAAAGGACCTAAACACACGTATATCCTTCTGAATTGCCCCAAACAAACGGTCAATGACGGAATGGACTAAAAACCCAAGAAAACCTTGATTTTGGACCTTTGGTGCAAGCTGGAAACTATTTGGACCCCATCCAAAGGTTTTGGCAAACCACAAGGACCAAATTCGCAGTTTTGTCTATTTATTTTCATTACTTAAATCACATGTTAATTCTAAAATCATATGTTTGACTATCAAACAAAAAGTGGTCATGCAAAATAGCCATGATGCAGGATCTTTATAACTCTTTTGAAAAATCCAACTAACCATGTCAAGCATGAGCATGCTAGACACTACTATTCGTATTATATCTACTAGTATTACAGTTCGAAGTAGTAGTTGAAGTAGGGGATGCCGATAGCTAACTATAAGTAAAGTAAACTAATTAAATTAAGCAAATTATAAGTTAAAACTAAATTAACTAAATTAATCTGACCAAACAAAGCAAAATATAAATTAATAAATTACCAAAGATACAATAAGAATTACAAAAGCTTATATCATATCGTAATTGGGTATTTGGAGTTGGAAATAACAATGCCACATTGATTGCATCTAGTAAATAATTTATTTTGTTGTCGACCTTGCATATATTCCAAATTTCCGTGTTTCGGTTGTGCTAATTTCCTTAAATGGTAATGACGAACAAAACCACACCTTCTTAAATCTTAACCAACAGGCAACAGAGAAACTACTTCCTTTGGATCCTGATATATTTCGAATCTTTGGAATTATAAGATTGAAGATTTTACACTAAAACTGCACCCATTATTTGGTTTCATTTTCAATAGAGAAGACACAATTTTTTTTTTTTTATAAATGATATCTACGATTAATCGATCTGGAAAACAAATGCCAAATACGATGCTTCAAAAAGTCCAAGAAAAGCATTATATTAGACGAGGGACTTCCGATACCCATAAGGATTTTCTGCTAATATAATTTTCTTTATTAATTGGAAGGTAATGATGGCCAATTTATTTAAAAATTGGTTTGGATTATTTGTTATGACTAACATATTAAAAGTGTAAAGAATGAATAAACGAAAAATATATCAAATGGGCTGAAAGTCGTCCAGAGCATGTTTCGATACATATATTTCAAAAATTAGATTATATTTGTAATAATATAATTTTAAATCATATTTATTTAAGTAATTGTTTATAAAACAATGGTCAAAAATATTTTGGGTTACCCAATTTGATCGGACATATACCAACATATTATTCATTTTAACATTTTACCTAACCGTTTATTCATAAAAATAGCAGACCCTAATATCTTTAATAACTTAACTCATGAAGAGACACCTGATACATGAAGATAGATTTGAAACTTCTTATATGCCAAAACCCTATGGTAATTTTGATCCATTTATTCAATCAAATGGGTTGAAAGTTATCTAAAATGTGTTTTCGATGAATATAACATTTTAAGTTGTTTTATTCAAGAAATGAATTATTCATGACAATGACATACTTTTTTAACATCGTATTAACACACTAACTCGATCCCGACATGTACAAAAAAGTTGCCCATTTTAACACGTTAGCCAAATATATTTTGCCAATGATATAAAATGAAAGTTCTTGATCTTTCAAGAGCGACTAGTTAAAACTAAGATCCCATTTTACAATTCACAAAAAGATACTCAAATTTAAAGATAGATTTGAACTTGTTCATAAGCTAAAGCTCGAACAAGTAGGTCAATAAAGGAAAATCATAAAAGGTCAAATATCAAAAGAAATTAGCACCAAAGTATACATACCTTCTGGAAGAGTGGGATCATCTTACAACTCACTAGTTTTATAGTTTACATGTAGCACAGAATAATATTCTTATTATCGATCTTATACAATTTTTATAACCAATAAGTAGTATATCAACCAAAACAAATAAAACACATTTGTCACACGCTTGTGGGTTCCCAAAAATTTGAATCAGAATTTCCCTTCCCGAACCAAGACAAAAGTTCAAGTCGTTTCTTAAAAGTCGTCATTGAATGACAATGGAAAGTGGAAACTTCAAGGAAGTCTACATCTAGCGTCGACAAGCGAAGTGGGCAAAATCCGTACGATCCTCATGTTCCAAGTAATTTCTTACTCATATTTTATAATATTTCATCTCCTTCTATTATACTATATATTAATCATTCTACAACTGGACAACACAACACAACCAAAATCAACTCACAAACCGCGTGCTTTTACAGAAGAGAGATAATGGAGGTAGAGAGAGACTCAGTGAAACTGAGCCTGAGCAATGAGCTAACAAAAACAGCTCAATCACTATCCATGGAATCCCACAAACAAAACAAACCTTTCATCACAAACCTCAACAAGAAACCATCAATGGAGGTTGCTATCTTCGCATTTCCAGGATCGTGGGAAGTCAGCGACTGGTACCATGATGATCGTTTTGGAGAAACCGAGGTTGATCGTAACCTCTTCAAGTCCATGTGCCGGATCGGAGAGAATCGACCCGCTAAAGTCAACGCGGCGTTTCTTAAAAGATTTCAAGATCTTTTAAACGAGTCCACCTTCAAATCGGAGGTAGAAATCTAATAACTTTACTTTCAAGTTATAACTTTTGATTTGAAAACGAATAACATTGACTGAAAGTCAAACTGTGAAATTTTCAGGTAGAGAAAGCTGTGAACACAAATAAGAAGATTTTGTTCACAGGGCATTCGTATGGTGGTGCGATAGCAAGTTTTGCCACACTTTGGTTACTTGATGAGTACGTAAAAAATCGCGGTAAAAAATTCCCAATCGGATGCGTAACTTTCGGGTCACCTCTGATTGGTGATCGGACCCTCTCCCACGCGGTCCGGCGTGAGAAATGGGCGGGTCATTTTACCCATTTTGTCATGGAACACGACGTTGTCCCTCGTATCATGCTATCTCCTAAGATATCAATTCAACAACATGTACCTAGTATTCTCAAATTCTTCCAACAACAAGTCAACGCCATTGATGATAAGCCCCACAAAAGTCGAAAGTTGATCTTCAGCAAATCGGGTCCGGGAAAACGGACGGCGGAAGATCGGTCGATAGGAGACGATGAAGGTGTTGAGTTCTTTGAGAATGTAATAATAAATGCATCAGCAGTTGCAAGTCATGTTGCATTTGAGCTAATGGAACCTACAAATTCTCTAATGGAGAAGCTATCCGTTGACTTTGTAAAAGTTTCTCCGTATAGACCATCGGGTTTTTACGTTTTCTGCACTAGCCATTCTCAACAGTTTCGGGTGGAAAACCCGAATGCTGTTCTACAGTTACTGTTTTATTTCTTGCAATTAACCGACGAAAGTCAAAATCTGGTTGATTTTTCGTCGAAAAGTTTCAATGAAAGTTTTAGTTATGAAGAACAAGTGAAGAACGTGTTACAGCTGGAAAACTTGATCGACCTGAAAGACCTCAACGACCACTTGTTGACTCCTAATGGTACTGCAGGCGATGCGGTTCGTACAAGTAACGAAGCTCTATTTCAACTGGTGAGTGCCTATAATTAGTTAATTACATCAACATCGTCTTCATTCTTTGGGGTAGGTAGGGTATAATAGACTTGATGATAAATTAAAATTGTCTTTTTGTGTGTGTGTGTGTGTGTTGTTACAGAGTGCAAGTGCAAGATGCTGTTTAATAGCTGCTGAAGAGGCGGAGAATAGGAAGAAAGAAAACGAGAAGATGATCGATAAGTCGATGAAAAAATACGCAACACCGGAAGAGAAGAAAAAGAAAAGAAATCGAACTGAGCTTAAGTTCATCGAGGAAATTCTGGATGAACTCCGTGAGTATAAAAAAAATCACACTGATTACTACGAAGCCTTCAAGCTTCAAAAGGAGCACGACGTCGACTTCTTGGTTAACGTAGACAGGCTGAAGCTGGCTAAAATATTTGACGAAATTGTGGAGATGGTGATGCGCGATGATCTTCCTGATGAATTTGAAGGTCGGGAGGAGTGGGTGAAGGTAGGGACGGAGTTCAGGCGACTGTTTGAGCCTTTAGATATCGGAAATTATTATCGCCACTCAAAAGGAGATGATAACAATAAAGTTTATTTGGATGTTAGACCAAAAAGGTACAAGTTTACACAGCGATGGTATGAACATGCAAATGGGATGGGGTTTGAGTTGGTTTCAGAGACTAATTTTGTTGCACTGCTTGAAGAAATTAAGAAGGAGGTGGAGGAGACTAAGAAGAAGCCGATTGATATGGTTAAAGAGGAATTCAAGAGTCTGGAGAAACAAGTTCACAACTGGATTTCTGATCACAAAATACGAAACGATGATGATGATGATGATGATGTGTTTTGGGGAGAATGTTTTTTCTCTGTGTTGCGGGGAAAACTAGGATAAACACCACACTTACACCCACACCCATGAAAAAGGAAGAAAATGTACATAATCTTAACCTTTCCATATGATTACTTAATAAGGGTAACTGGGTGAGTGTAATATGTGAGTGAGTGTGAATGTGTTTGATATTTTATGAATAGTATCCTTGCTATAATTGATTTACGCTTTTTAAGTTATACTTTTACATGAGTTTGAGCTTTTTTTTAAGATTTTTATTATGATAATAATATTTGAGACATTTTGTGATGGAATCTTTAAAAGGATATAGCATTTCTTTGGAACTGATATTTAAATACCATTACGATATTTTTCGTAGATAACTATATTATCGTTTTATATTTATTAATTGTTTACAAGTTTGATTTACCTCTTTGTTTATTAAAATACTAGGTAGGTGGGACTTGCTCTATTTTTACTTCTTTATTTCATAACACTAGCCGACCAGCATACTAAGGAGGTGAGGATAAAGGGTTTTTGATCTTGCAATGCTTACAGGATATATAAGACAAAAAATATATTCAATAATACAACTACAAACAAAAAATTCTACATAATATTTGAAGTAACTATGGATCGGAAATATTAATGGTCTTAAAATTTTCATAAATTTTGGTTTGAATATTAGCCATTTTATAATTTAATCCGGTACTATTTTTATTTAAAAGGAGTATTATACACTACAAGAAAATTTCGATTTAACTACGAAAAAATTCTGTAGCTAAACTTGAATAACTACAAAAGTTCCTACGGAATTTCTCAATGAGATTCCATAGGTATATTTCTTGTAGCAAACTCTTTAGCTACAAAATTATAGTTCCGTAGCAGTTTTGCTACGACGTTTATTCCATAACAATTTAACTACAACGTACTTCTATAACAATTTCGTAACAATGGGGTGCGTAGCAAATTTCGTAGCCATTTGTTCCGTAACAAATTCCGTAGTCATTTGTTTTGTAGCAAATTTCGTAATCATTTGTTCTGTCGCGAATTCTGTAGTCATTGGTTTTGTAACAAATTTCGTAGTCATTTGTTCTGTAGCCATTTGTTCTGTAATAAATTACGTTGCCATTTGTTCCGTAGCCAATTATAGTCATTTGTTCCATAACAAAATTAGGTTTCAAAACAAATTCATAACGATAAAAATATTCAACAAAATTCAATTTCAATTTATAATATTCGTTGAAATATATAAAATGCAATAAATTTAATTTTAATAGTTACATAGATTTTCATAGATATATTTAAATAATTGAAGATCCTCTTACATGGTTTCCTAATCATCCAAAATGAATATTCATTACAAACATCGTCATACAATTCATATCGGAACCACTACAAACACACAAAGATGCTCAAAAAATGGCATAACCTACAAAATCAAATTTATAAACAACTTGATTAACATTCAAATCTTTTGTATAAAATCTCATTATATCTCTAGTTTTTGACCAACTAGAGATTTAAAATCTGAAAAAAAAATAAAAAAATCCAACTCTTCTATTTGATACACTATTACCATATAACTAAGAAACAAAATGAATCACCTTTTGAGCACCATCAGATCCAATGTTAGCATGATGCCAAAATGATTTGAAATAAAGTTAAAACAAAATGATAATACAATGATCATAAACGCTTACATATTAACTTGTATTTATAAAACAAAACTTGATTTTCTATTATAAAATGTAATCTAGTAATTAAACATTTAAATGTTTAAGTTTTTGTGAAAACTCTCAGAGGTTGACTCAACACCTCTCGACTAATGCTGATGTGCCGACTGAAAGCCAATGATATAAAAGATTGACTCGCACCCGAGTCAAATGACACCAAAGCAGGTACATAATTCACAAGAAAAGTACCTACGCATATCATAATATAAGCATAAAATTTTAAACATTAAATAATTACATGAAAGAGTACATACCAGCCACGACATCGGGCGCTGCGCGGACCTCCTCTGCGGTCAACTAGAAGGCTCTCCCTCGCGCCTTCGGTACCTCAGCCTTCACTGGCCGGCTCTCAGTAGCTCTGATAGCAGTAGGGGTAGATCCCTGTGGTGCTCCCTGGGTAGTCCCTCGCAATAGCGGACACTCTGCCTTCCGGTGTCCAGTCTGGTTGCAGTGAAAACATACTGCAAACCCCTTTAGGCAGTCCTTGGCCATATGCCCATTCTTGCCACACTTATAGCAAGATCCCGCTCTACAAACCCCATCACGACCCTTGCCGCACTTCCCACAAGTGCGGTCCTTCTGGCTCCCTGCTCTGGGATCAGCGGACTTGGCCCGCTTGGCTGTCGGCTGAGACTGTGTCGGTCGTCGATCCCTCCCCTGAGACTCCGCTTCCTCCCTCGCCTGAGTCTCTAGCTCAATCTCCCTCTTCCGTGCATTTGCTTGAAGCTCGGAAAATGTCCGGTACGAGGAGTTCGCCACAAACTCCCGAATATCCCTCCGCAAAATACTCAAATAATGGCTCATACCTGCCTGCTTAGATCTCTCATAATCTTCTTCGGATCCCAAATCCCAAGTACTCTACTATGCATAATCCATTCTCTAACAGATCTCTCATAAGCTTCTCGCTGCTACCTACTCACTCTCAAGCATCTCATAGCAGCTCACCTCTCCCTAGGCTAAGGCATCACAATCAGGCCACTCTAGTCCTAATAGGAATACCTAGCCCACTCTAGCAAGAGAATACATCATATCAATCTCATAAACATATAACATAAGGGTATTTTGGGAAATCACCGTTCGGGTGCTGACTGATCATACATACGTTTCTGCTCTGTGTTTCTCTAAAAATCTTTTACTTCTTTTAGAAAATTTGGTTCTCTTTTGAAAATGTTTTCCAAATCCTCAGTTTGAGTTCAAATACTCCTGAAGGTGTACCCGAAACCGTCAAACCAAGGCTCTGATACCAACTTGTAACACCGTAAATTTCCAAAACAATTTTTCGCATTTAAAAAACCATAATTCATTTGTAAATCATAAAAACATCATTGTTTGATACTCAATTTATAACATATAAAAATATCCCAAGATCTCCTATCATAAAAATCCCGTGTGTATACTGATCAAGCCGACGCCTTCCTGCGATCCTCACTAGTACCTGAAACACATAACACAAAACACTTTAAGCACAAAGCTTAGCGAGTTCCCCAAAATACCACATATAACACATATTAGCCACTCGAGGCTATAACTCTGTGGGTCCGTGGACCTAAAACTCTGTGAACCCTAAGGTTCTAACTCTGCAAGCATGCACATCATAAATCACATAGAAGAATGCAATGCAACAAACAATATATATAAATCACTGTATCACATAACTCTATTTACCTACTCAAGGTAAAGTATAGTGAGAAGACTCACCTCGCGTATCTCGGTAACTCGTAAATCCCTGAAATCATTAGTGCTCGATCTCCCGAGCTATAGTCCTCCTATAACACAATACATCTCTAATTAACACTTCCCAACTAAGGTTGACTAACCCTATCAAGTCAACACCGGTCAACTATGGTCAATGGTCAACGGTCAACCCAACTCGCCGAGTCTGGTGTGGACTCGTCGAGTCTCTATAAGGACCCGATTCCTCTGAGTCCTTCCGACTCACCGAGTCACTCACCCAACTCGGTTACTCAACCCCTGGTTCGAAATCCCTGAACAACCTGCACCAACTTGTCGAGTCTGCCAATGGACTCGGCGAGTGCATCCCATGCACAACCCCAAACGACCTTCTAAGGTCAGATCTATTCCACTAACTCATAGATCCAGTCCTTCCAAGCTTATTTATCACGTAAAGTTCATGTCTTGGCGCTCATATCACACCTAATGACTCATAAATGGTGTTTTGACCTCAAGCACAAAGATCCCAACCCAAAACCTACATGGATTCATAAAAAGCTTGGACAAAGGGACACTATGGACCTCCAAGGGTCCAGATCCAGAACCTAACTCACTTAAGGGACCATGGGAGCACTAGATCTAGCCATAAAAGGGCTCAATAAGCCTAAATCAACATGAACATCACCTCAACAAAAAAGGGTTCGAAAATGGTACCTCAAATGTGATGTTCTGGACCTCGGATCTTCAGGAAGTTAACCCTTTTGCTTCCTCTTGGCTAAAGCTTCCTTTCCCTTGCTAGACAACACCTCCAAGGTTTATAATGACTCCTTATCTCACTCCAAATGCTCAAGTGCACTAGGGTTTCGCTCTGGGGGCTGGTGAGCACAAATGACGGCCATAAGGCCCTTTAAATAGGCCCCAAACCCGAGAAATTAGGGTTTCATCAAACAGCGCGGACTCGCCGAGTCTACCAATGCGACTCGTCGAGTCCGGTCATTAATCCAGATGAGAAATCGCGTCTATACTCGGCGAGTCTATGCACCAACTCGCCGAGTTCTTCCACAAAACTCAAAATCAAATGAATAAATATAATACCTGAAATTCCGGATGTTACAAAACACCCCTGGCTAAGTAATGAAGATTAACAAATTGGAAGGAATCGCTCTTATGTTCTGTAACGCCCATAATCAGAAAGACCAAGAAAGGAAAGGAAGACCCTGGGTCAAAGGGGTCAACTCGTCGAGTCCAGGGAGGAACTCGCGAGTCTGAGCGGGATCCGGGTCGAAGAGTAAGTGACCGAGTCGATGAGTAGGAAAGTGGACTTGGCGAGTCAGGTCTGGATTGGGAAAACCCTAAGTCCGGGACTTGGTGCCCTATTTAAACATCTCATTCTCTTCCCTAAGGTGCATATGCAGTCTCTCTCACCTAGAATACCGAACCCTAGCCACCATATCCATTTTGAGAAAAATCTAGCCTTGGTGAAGTGATTTGAAGCTTGGAAGGGAAGGAGGTTCATAGTGGTGCAAGAGGAAGCATAGTTGGTGTGACTTTTCAGCTCCTTTGAGGTAATAAGTTGTTCTTATTGCATTTAGATATATCTTATGGTTGAGATTTGGGCATTCTGAGTATGGAGGAGGTTTATTTCGAGTTTGGAGTAGATCTGAGGTTGCTACCTCAGATCTAGGCTATTAAGGATCCAGAAAGCCATAAAGTTTATGCCAATAAGTTGTTGGTGAAGCCCCTTTGTCACAAAACCTAGCCCTAAAGTGTTTTAAGCCCATATCTCTTTAGTTTCACATAAAGTTTGCAACTTTACGTAAGGAATAGACTTGGGAAGAGTGGATCCATGAGTTGGTGCCCCTGCATGGCTCGAAAAGCCCTGTATGGATTAAGAACTAGAGCGACTC